AAAAAAAAAAAAAAAAAAAAAAAGGAATTGGAAGTGCTTTTACATTTTCTAAAATGAAAAATTTTTAAATATAAAGATTAAAAGATAAATTTCTATAAATAAAAGGATAAAATAGTAACTAAATCATGTTTTAATATGTTTTATTTTTTGTCTTGTCACGTGTTTTCTTTTACTCTTTGAGTTAGAGACTAATTCTATTTAAGGTATTTGGCGAATTTTTATATATAATAAAAATCAAATAAATTTTTTTTATTAAATAGATTGTTCACTTAACGTGGTAGTACATAGTGTTTTTGTTTATATTCATAATTTAAAAAAAAAAATAGAGCATTTTGGGAGAATTGGATTGAAGCTGTGGAACACCTGCGAAAAAGACATAAAGATGCACTCACATTTTGGATACGCCAATTTTGTCAATCACCAAGAATAAGTTAGCAAGACATTAGTTGTCACCTTAAATTCACCACTAAACCTATATTTATGTTGATTATACATTGTTTATCCCCTGGATCCTCAAGCAGCACCAGATTGCATATCCGAAGTCAAAATGACATAAATTTAGCGATTTTAATTTTTCCTTGTTAATTAAAACAAACTTTTCATTTTTACACTTCATTTACACTTGTTTATATATTTCTACTTTTATAATAATCTCATCACTTGTTACATTTACCATTTTTATTATTATTTTTATCTCTCTTCACGGTGAATCAGAATAGGTATATACACCCTTTATGATTGTGAAGAAGTCAGCTTTATCCTTGTTTTAATCACCATTCTTCCTAAATGTTGTTGAGTATCAACTATGCAAATTGTTTGGCTACTTCCTCCCCCAACACAATCTGTTTAAGGAGAAAACTTGTTTTTTTAGGTAGAGTCCACTAATTAAAGTTAGAATTTTACTTTAATATTATACATTTATATTTAATATAAATTTCATTAATATATATTATCGAAATAAAACTTAAATTCTAATTAAAAAACAGTATCCACCATGTTTAAGAAACCCTAACTAATAACTAAGTTTTGTCTTACATCAAAATCTGTGTATATATACCATATTAACGCTTCACCATTCCCCAACTCACACCAAAATTTTAAAGCCATCCATGGCTTTGAACAACACAAAGCCCGTTTTGATGCTCCTGATTCCCCTCCTAATGCTGCATCGCAACTCCGACACATCTTTCGAATTCCCCAACTTTTCAGGGCCATACGCGAGCGAGCTGATAACGCTCCAAGGCGACGCCTTCGAGTCAAAGGGCGTCATAACGCTAACGAAGGTCCAAAACGGCGCAATGATGCCCAACAGCGCCGGCAGAGCCACCTACGCTCTTCCCGTGCGCCTCTGGAACTCACAAACGGGCAAGGTGGCACGCTTCAACACCACCTTCTCCTTCGAGATAACCTACGGTTTTGATTTAGCAGAAACCGGCGATGGAATCTCTTTCTTCCTCGCACCCTTCCACTCCCAAATGCCCCCACATGCAGACGGTGGATACCTCGGACTCCTCAGCCCCGACACTGCCTTAAGAAACACCGACAAGAACCAACTTGTCGCGGTTGAATTCGACATGCACCCCAATTCGTGGGACCCTGCCGTTCCCCACATTGGCATTGATGTTAACTCCATCGCTTCGGTGAAAACGGTGCCGTGGAAAAACGTCGTGGGCTTGCTGATAGTGTTCGCCACTGTGACGTATGATCCTGTGTCGCAAAATTTGAGCGTGGCAGTGCGTGACGGACCTACGGCTAGCCTCGTGATCGATTTGAAGAGCGTTCTGCCAGAATGGGTAAGCGTTGGCTTCTCCGGCTCCACCGGAAAATTCACTGAAGTGCACGATATTCACTCGTGGAGTTTCAGTTCTAGCTTCGATTAGGACCCCCGTGTCTTGTTAATTAACCACGAACTAATAAATATGTACCACGTTCGATGTTATTATAAATTAATGTATGTATTTTGTGTTAGAAATTTTATTTCTAATAATTATTGTGGGCTACGTATATTATTTATAGTATTTATATTAATTATTTATATTTAGTTGGGCTTAATAAAAGTGATCTAATTTTAGTGAGCCTTTACACTGTCAACAAGAAAAACTGATATGGGCCCATATAAGTGGAAACCAGATTTGGCCCGTTAGGGGTTAATAGGAACCCTAATAGGTTTAAAATCATAAAGATGGTCATGGTCCCCAATATGCCAAATGAGAAACACACGTCTTTCTGTCTCCCTATTAGAAGAGTAACATCAAGTCCTATCAAGGAATTCAGTGATTTGGTTGAGAAAGATCATTGCACCAAAAGACTATTCCGCTGCAACCTTTTGATCAATGTCAATGGACACAGGTACGTATTATTAACATTAACTCTGTAATCTCAGACAACGGTTCTTAATATTGATTAATGGAAAATTTCTATTTGGCTTAAGAAATTTATCCCAACAAGTGGTATCAGAGCCCCCGTTGTCATTAGGTTATGGGGTTCTAAAGCGTATTATTACAATCATTTTTCTTTCTTCATTGACAATACGTGTATTTCAATGCGTTGGTCATTTTTTTTGCTTCAATTTGGTTTAATTGATTATATGGATAAAGAGATCGATTAAAAAATAAATTTTTCTTAAAGAGAATTTTTTTTTTTTTGTATTGTGAAATTGTATAATTTTCTGTGAATGTTATATATTTATTTATGTAACAATTTTGCAATGATCCAGAAGACATTGTCAAATGAAGAAATTTTTTGAATTTTTTATATTTTCTCACCAGAAGTGAGATAATTGTGCAATAATGCAATAAAGGAATATTTTCTCACTAGAAGTGAGTTAATTGTGCAACAATGCAATAAAGTAATATTTTCTCACCAGAAGTGAATTAATTGTGCAACAATGAAATAAAATATTTTTCTCACCGGAAGTGAGAAAATAATATGAAAAGTGAAAAGGAAAAGGGTTGATAAAGACACAAATATAATATAAATATTATGTTTGATCCTTTGAGTACCACTAGAAGTGGCATTTTTTTTTGTCAAAATCATTGTTGTAATATTAAATGATATTTGGGAAAATTATATGATCAATATATTAAATTTCACATTATCAAAATTTTAATGTCATTCACGTAAGAATTATTTTCTTGAAATTTGATTGATATTATGTTCAATTTTAAATTGATTTTTTTATATATATTAAATTTGAGTGCGAATATTGACAGATTATAGAACCTCTTTATTAATTAATTTGTCTTGTAATTTTTTAATTAAATAAATTGATGTAAACCCAATCACCAGGTTCAAAAATAACTTTCTTTCTGCCCTTGTTGGCTTGCTTGGCATAACTCTCAATTTTCTTTTCAGTTTGAGCTTTCACTTGCTCATGCAACTTCTTCACATAATCAGCCTTAGCCTGTGCATCTTTATGCTTAAATTCAGAAATGTTAGGCATAGGTAACAAGTCAAGTGGTGTTAGAGGATTAAATCCATACACAATTTCAAATGGTGAACATTTAGTTGTGCTTTCTTTCTGCCCTTGTTGGCTTGCTTGGCATAACTCTCAATTTTCTTTTCAGTTTGAGCTTTCACTTGCTCATGCAACTTCTTCACATAATCAGCCTTAGCCTGTGCATCTTTATGTTTAAATTCAGAAATGTTAGGCATATGTAACAAGTCAAGTGGTGTTAGAGGATTAAATCCATACACAATTTCAAATGGTGAACATTTAGTT